CTGGATGCTGGTGCGCGCCATCGACGAGGCGCCCTACCTGGCGGCGACGGCGGAGCTGGACAACCACCTGGTCTACCAGATCCCTGGCGCCAGGACCCGGGAGGAGGGCATCTCGCGGCAGCATGCGCACTGGGTGGAGAAGTTCGAGGAGACCATCCTGGACCACCACGCTGTCGTGGACGGCGACCGCTGGCAGCACCGCGGACGCGGCAGAGGGCGCGAGGTCGCGCGGCGACGGCTGAGGTCGACCCCTGGCCGCGTGCACATGAAATACCAAAGGGCGGAGAGGATGAACAGGTGCCCCACCCTCGCGCAGCGCTGCATCTGCCTCACGAGCAGCCGCGCAGAGGAGGCAGGTCGCGGACAGGGCCACCACCATCGCGCAGAGCTTCGAGAGCGACGGCATGCTGCAGCACTGCGGCGACGAGGGCTGCGCGAAGGATTGGCGCGGGCGAGCGGAGAGCCTCGGGTCCCTCGACAGGTCGAGGAGGGAGCAGCTCTTGGAGACCACCTCCAAGCTGGCCGCCCGCGGACAGGCCCGGGCCCTGGGAGACCCGCGAAGAACGGGCCGCTGGTCGAGAGCGCGGCGAGCCCAGAGGACGAGGATAAGCGCGGCATCGCCGCGATCGCGAAGCCGAGCCAGATCACGGACAAGCGCGCGCGGCCGCGGCGGCGGGGCGCGCTGGCGGCCGCAGCCGCGCAGCGCTCCTGGCCACGGCGGTCGGCGGCGACAGGCGTCGCCGTGCGCTTGGAGGCGTTGGGGCCCTGGCTGGCGCCGCGGGAGGGGGCCGCCGTGCTGCGCGCGCGCATCCAGCGCGCCTGGGGGCGGATGCGCCGGGCGCTCGCGGCGGCCAAAGGCCAGCGATGGCGCCGCGCGCGCGGGCCGCTGGGGGCGGCACAGGCGATGCCCATGGACATGGGCTGGGAGCCAGCCTCAGCTACCTGCTGGACTCGACCTTGGCACGACGGAGACCGGCGGCCACTGGCGACGCGGGCCACTGGCGACGCGGGCGGCAGGGCCCAATTACACCGAACAGCACTTGGTGCAGAGCGACAGCGAGGCCTCCGGCAGCAACGTCGACCGCCAGCCGATCTTGCACGACGCCAGAGAGGACCTCCAGCACCAGCACTGGAAGAAGGCGGTGCCCCACGCGGACGGAGGCAACCTGGGCAGCGGGGCGGGCCCGACCTTGATCTCGAGGGGGCAGCGCCGCTTCGCCAAGCGGAACAGGTGGCGCGATTGGAGTCTCAACGCCACGGTCGTGAGCGGAGGCCAGCGGACCCGCCTGCGCAGGAAAGAGGCGGGCGACCTCGTTGCGCCAATCTGCCCCCGCTGCGGGTCGGCGCCAGGGTCGAGGGCGCGCCGCGTCTGGGAGTGCCCCAGAAAGTGTTCATGATGCGAAGTCAGGCAATCCAGCTCGCCCGCAGGACAAGCCCTGGCGGGCCTAGACGCCGACCCGGCGCTCCGGCTTCATGGCCTGTCCCCAGAGTACCTCGTGGCCCCGCGGTTGTCAAAGGACGCCCTCCTGGACCTGGAGCTGCCCCTTGGGACTTCGGCGCTAGATGACGTTCGGGGGGGCGGTCGGGCCGCGGCGTTCGGGGGCGGGTCGGGGGGGCGATGCTCGGGCGACCCGCGGAGGCGACGATGCGGAGCGGCCGTCGCAGTTGTCTAGCGGCGCCCCCAGAGCTGTGGAGGCAGGGCGCCATCAGGGCCGGGCCCTTGGCGGGCCCCCTTCCAGTCGGTTCCTCGGGCTGAAACCCCGGCGCCGGCCATGGCCCTGGAGGGCGCGACGGGGGCACTGCTGAGGGCCTGGCCGCGGCGCCTCTGCAAACTCGCAGGTGGCCCGAACGATGTCTTGCGGCGCTGAAGTCGGCGGGCCCTGCAGGGCAGGGGCGAAGGCGCGATCGGGCTGGAATGGGCCCCCTCTCACGCTGAGCTAGAGGCAGAGAGGCCGGCCATCCCCAGGGGCCGCCCCCTGGCGGCAGGCAATGCCGTCGCTGACGCGGGGGCGGGGATCGGGGCGGAGCTGGCTCGGGATGGGGGTCGCGCACGAAGCGGCGCACGGCGACCTGCGGGGCGCGACGGCGGCCCCCGCGAGGCGCCGCGCGCGCGCGGCCCCCCCGCTGCCACTCGAGGCCGACGCCGAGAGAGCCGAGCGAGTCGAGCGCCGATGCCCCGCCCCCCTCGACGCGGCAGGAGGCCACCGCTCGCTCGTCGCACTCGCTGCATTCGGCCGGCCCGAAGTGGCAGTGCGGAGTGCGCCTCCAGTTCGCTTGCTGTTCTGCCTCGTCGACTTCTGCTCGACCCCGCGCGCGCCTTCCCCCGCGCCGCGCGCGATCGAGGCGAGGGGCCCGCGTGCAAGAGCGCGGGGGGAGGCGCAGCGCGGAGCAGCAGAGGCCTTCAACGAATCCCACAGCGAGGGATGATACTGTGGCCTGTTCCTTGTTTTTACGCCACGTACGCGGCCGCTTCGCAACAGTGAGTGGATTCCGGGCACCT